GAATTTACGCTACGTTGAGAATCTGCATCAGCGGAAGATGGTGGGTGCTCCTGTGTAAAACTCCTTGCGCGTAGCCTGTTTGCGACGTAGGAGGAGGGATAAGCAATTGAAGGCAATCCGCTACGTTGAGAATGTGTATCGGTGGAAAATAATAACTGCGGAAATGGAAGATCATCAATGTCTGATCCCCATGTAGCCGCCGTCGAACTGCCTGATCCATGTCGAAGCTCAATGTCTTGTCGCCACGGAGGCGTGGAAGAGGCAAAAATCAATCTCAGGCGTTCGCTCATAGCGTCGTCGATACCCGTCACTCCAGTCATATCTGCGAGACGGACAAGCTCAAGGATCTCAGAGATTTCCTCCATCGGTAGCAGGGAGGCGGGAAACGCAACCCGGCCTCTGTACAACCTAGCCACGGTTCTGAAGTCAGAATTGCTTCTTCAATACCAATAATGAGTGTTGCGTCGGGACGGCGAACATACCATTGCACCAAAGCCTGGAAGCTTCTGGGTGTAACAACTCCCTCGATCTCTTCAAGTACGGCTGCGTTCTCTGCACCTTCCTTGAAATGCCCGGCTGCAAACATTGCCGAGAAATAAGGTGAATCTGCGCACAGAATATCTTTCGAAACTTGGTACGCGGGGCCATGTTCGCCAATACGGATGATCACTTGAGGTCCAGAGAACAGAGGGAGGAGGCTAATAGCAGTCATTAGCCAGTGTTGAATGTTCTTTATGTCTCAGGAAACTTACGATTTCATGAAGATGTTGTATGGAACATCATCTGACGTGCTCTTGGTGTCATTGCGGAGTGACATGTTGTTAGTGGACATGGGGTATGGGTTTCGCTGAGTTCCTCTGCGCATTCAAAAGACGTACTCCGAGATATTCTCATCAGCCTGCTGTGTGGTGGAGAAGGACAAATTATTTGTGCTGCGCAGAATGTGTTTTGCCTCGAGGATCGATGGCAACCTTAAATACCCGACAAGCGCGAGCAGCATCAAGGCCATATTGAATAGAGCTCCCGAGAAAGGGAAAGCGTCTCATCTGACTACAGCACATTCACATATCAAATGCCAAAAAAAAACAATAGGATGCCTGATTTGGACATCTTGCAGGAACAACCAAAGACTAATTGTGAAAAGTTTAGCTAGCTCATTCTGCTTCTCGAGGGATCTTGATGTACTTCTCAATCGCTGCTATCTCTTGATGGTACAGCTTTCAACCTGATTTGCTCTGTGAGCTTGGCAATGAAGTACTCGATGCGCGTGGCAAGCTACGAATTCCAAGAAAGACTGCTCGGAGATAGGTTTCAGTTGTCGTGGGGAAAAAAGCTAATATGCCATAGTATAGCCCCTGCACGAGGGCTCCAACTCTGATGTTCCAGCTCGAGACGACACTACCAATAAATAAGAACAGTAACAAGAGCAGTATTCATGCCATAAGATCGGTATTCCCAAATAGATTGAGTAAATCAACGACCCAAATAGAAATAACTAATTGCGTATTAGCTGCTTTACTCAAAGCAAAACCACTGAAGAAGACTGCAACAGCATTTGCAAAGCATCAGACACAGTCGAGCATTTCTCACCACCTAAAAATAAACAATTCTCCACAACTATCCTCCTACTGTCGAACCCCAATCCCCTTTATCAAACCTAACGTCCTCCCCACCTAGTATATATACGCTCTCTCGCATTCCTTTCCTTCCAGCACTACAAAATCCAAGCACCCACTTCCACCCTCTTATCACGAGCAGCCGACCCAAACTACCGGGACGCTCGCTGAAGAGCCCGAAGTGTTCGTGCGCCGTGCATCATATGCATGCATTGATGCAAGGAGACGTTAACGTTGCAATAGTACCGCGTAAATATCACCGGGCCTTTGTCATCGGTACGTATGAATTGTTCGCCTAGATGGTTTCCGAATCTGGCAAAGAAATCAAGATCTAATAGGGTTTTATAGTGATAATGTGAGTAGGTAGCATCTTGCAAACGCCTAGATGATGCGGAGATCCTACAGGAGAGAATCACGTGTTTTGTACAGAGGGGAAGGGAACTCGGGTTGCAATATACCTGGATATGGTCGTTACGACGTAAGGGTCGGCAGCGGAGAGGTGGAGGTTCGGTTCTCCAGCGTGGAAAGAAACGGGGAATATGGCAAGTGGATACAGGATACAGTAGTGCGATCTTACTCCGTAGCTCGTTTCCCCTACGGAGGTAAGGGCATTGTTTCACCCCTGCCATAGGTACGGAGCATGGAGCCAGCGGTGGACACCCAACAATTGATAATCTCCATTCGGCCGGCTTCTGATATGCACAAATATCTACTCCCCTTGACCCGGGTGGCGTTTTTAATATTTGGGAATCTGGACTTTAAGTACGGTTCGTGGCTTTTTGGCGTTCAATGGCGTTTAATGGCGTTTTGGCAACACGTGAGGATTACGAGTATCGTGTGTGGCGCGTTACTTGACCTTTTCCCATTTTCATTTTCATTTTCATTTTGGCTTTCTTTGCCGGGTGGTAGTAGTACTTACTGGTGTATCGTGGTACAGAGTCGTTAAGAGTCGCTTAGGCCAGTCCTGGGATTATTCTAGGTGACGTGGACGTGTATGCGTGCAGTGCGTTATTAAATGCATGTTGGTGTCTCTTGCTTGGGACGGGAAAGTCTTCAGTGATTGGTGGAGGGCCCAGCTCCGGTTCTGTTCTGCCATGTATCGTTTTGCAGGCATTTAACAGCTCGCTCACCATACTCGATGTAGTTATACGATAGATACGAAAAAAGAGATCTAGAAGGAGGAGCCCTATTTTCTTGAAGCATAAGGAAATTGCATCAGGCAAAACTTTTCTATTGATCGGCTTTAAATCGTTGGTGTTGGAGTGGCCTGACAAATCGGCTTCCCCGCACGGAGTCCCGCAAAGAGTGATATGTGCCCGCAATCCAAGTTCGGGGAGCTTTTGACCTCACGGAATTTCTAAAGAGATGACCTTATCAATACAGTAAGACGCGATGTAACGATTAGTAGTCTCGCAGTATTCGCTGCTAGGCCTATTCGCCGATGCTTGCAAACCGCCAGTCATCGCAAATTCATTAGCAAAGCCTAGAGCGAAAGTTCATGTTTCTTTGGTGTTGAGTCCCGAAACGGACATCGGTTGGTTGGTTCTGTAGAGAATCTTACGTGCCTGTCGGTCCGCAGTCAGTTGAGGCTACAAGCCCGAGGCCGAGGTAATTTGCTAGATACGGTGCCTGCTCGTATGTGAGAGAGCGGTCGAATTTATACAAGCTACCTTTTTCTTATTTCGTACAGGTAGAGAGAGACATATGCAGAGAATATCTGTACGGGCCGAAACCATCTCAAAGTAGAAACCTTCAGGCTGCGTCCTGCAGGCTCTCGGTGTTCATTCCAATTGATCGGGTTTGATACTGCATTCCATTGGGCAGGGTTTATTCGCGGAACACCCCAAATCGACGTACGGAGTCAGTTCTGCATGTTGATTGATGAACCCTGAATTCCAGGGATTTTGAAAACTTGCAATGGTCCATCGCATAGCAAATCTGCGCCTAAGTTCACTTGAAACTATCGCCAGCTAAGAAACGTTAGGGCCTACTGTGCGAAGTACGCTGAAGCAGCCTCCGTTCCAGCGGCCGAAACGATCGAGGCTGCGACCGCTGAGGAAAATGCCACCACACCTTGCGTCATCTCGTCCACTCTCTGGGGTAGGCTAGAGCTCTCCGCATCCAAGTCGAAGTGTTTAATTGACCAGATCTGCGGAGTCGACGCCGGTGACGACACGCTGACCGCAGACATGCATATGCCGAAGCCACTTGGCTTCAACTATTCTCGCGTTGTGGGGTTTAGATGATTGATACTGTACACTGTATATGTACCTCGATGTACTTGGTAAGAAGCTTCTGTACTGTGTTGTGCTGCAGACGAGTCAACGGCAACGCATTCCTCGAGTCTGGAAAACAACACGGCGTGGTGAAGCTCCGAGGCCACATGGAAAATGCATTAGTGCTGCTGTCAATAAAAAGATGTCTCAGCAACAAACGATGCGACAACATGGCAGTTACGGAGCACGGAAATTAAATGGCAACGGCGACTTGTTACCAACGTCGGTTATGGTTAAGTTGTAGGAGCATTAGACTTATCTAGGAAGGGATGCGGAGCAGGGACTCGCAGGGACCCATGACTACTTTGTTGACCGGGTCATGGATGGGTCATGGATGCGCCCAATTGGTCTCGAATATTACCTATTTCCTTCCCCACTGCAAATCATATCCGCTACTGTATCCCTTAACAAACATCTCCACCAGTAGGGAGTAAGCTTGCCCCGGACTACATGAACAGCTAAGTAGCTCCTCCCGTCCGCCCTTGCAGAGCTATATATCCCCCGATGTCCCTCGTCCCTCTTTCCAGGAGTGAATAGCTTTACCTTGCCAGCTCTTTGAACGAAAAGTCATCACAAGTCAATCAAATCGATTGCAGCGGGTCTTCCAAGCTACTACAACTTCCTTCATCAACATCTAGAGAGCTTGAGCATTCCTATTCGAAATGGCGACAACCACAGGTATCGCGGATCCAGATCTCAACAAAGAGTACAACCACGACCCCGTGACTCAGGACCATGCCAGCAATGGAGTCAATGGGGGTAACAACGGAGCGCAGCAGCGTGGCTTCGATTATGGTGGAAATCCTCTGGCACACACGAACACTGGCCAATCCGCTCGTTTCCCAGCTTTCGGTGGTGAATTCCAGCCTGGGCTCTACAGACCAACCACCCACCGCAAGTTTGCCAATCCAGCTCCCCTCGGTTTGAGCGCTTTCGCCCTCACCACCTTTGTCCTGTCCTTGATCAACATTGGCGTCCGAGGTGTGACTGAACCGAATATGGTTGTCGCAGTGGCGTTTGGGTACGGAGGTCTGGTTCAATTACTTGCTGGCATGTGGTATGTTGCGAAGCCGTATTTCTTTTGGAGAAGCTGAATTTTTACTAATCCATCCCAATAGGGAAATGGCTGTCGGCAACACTTTTGGTGCCACCGCTCTCTCGTCTTACGGTGGATTTTGGATATCCCTGGCAATTGTTCTGACTCCAGGTGGATTCGACATCGAAGCCGCATATGTCACTGGCCCAACCGATGTAAGCGGCACGAAGGCATTCAACAATGCCTTCGGGTTCTTCCTCATTGGATGGTTCGTCTTCACCACCATTCTGCTTGCCTGCACGCTCCGATCAACCGTCGCGTTCTTCTTTCTCTTCTTCTTCCTGGACTTAGCTTTCTTGTTCCTAGCTATTGCTCGCTTCCAACAAAGCAGCGCGGGTGTCCCCAACGTAAAGTGCAATAAGGCTGGAGGATACTTTGGTATATTCGCCGCGTTCATGGCTTGGTACAATGCCCTGGCTGGTCTTGCAGATGACAGGTAAGATTCCCCCTTCATCATATCATATCAAACTCCATCTAACAATCACCTCCAGTAACTCATTCTTCGTCATCCCCGTCGCACACTTCCCATGGTCCGACAAGGCACGCAGCAGCAGAAGTACCAACAAGACTGAGCGCGAGACGGTCTGAACTAGGCAGGACACATTCGCATTTGATATTTGCTATTTGGGACCAATTTGGGGGTAAACTGGGAAGTGGATGGATTGACCGGCCGCATCTAGCACGGCAGATACTTACGGGAAGGAATGGCGCGACATTTTTAAAAGAAGTTTACTACGAATATTTAATAATAACGTCTAGCTATTTGCTTGCTCTACGAAACACCTCTAATAATAAATATCTCGCACTTTTCCCACCCGCGATTTCCCCATCACCTCAACAATGATACACACAATCCTTGGCCCCTCGCAACTCAATACTCCATACCGCAAACCATCATGCATCGCATCGCGTCGCAATCTAGTTTTCCCATTCGCGTCCAAGGTTTTCCCCTTTCCCCATACCTCCTATTAGCTTTGGATAAAAGTGGGGCAGCGGGTCCGGCCTTATTTCGTTGATTTCATATTTCTACTATACCTAGTCTGTACCTTCGTATACACCAATGCAGTAAGGATCCAGCAATGTAAGATCTGCCGGCTTCGGCACCCGGTCTTGATTTACACGGGAATTATCATTATGCTTTGTACTTCGTATTGTTTCAGGGGAGAGAGAAAAATCAATAATGGAGGCTTTTTTTGGGGGCGGCAGGCGGGGTTTTGGTTCTTTTCTTCTCATCCCGTTTATGCCCCTCAGGCTGATGAGATGGAATGAATGGTCTGGACTCTAGCTGTAGGGGCTAGCGGATAGATTGTATCGTATGTATGTTTGGACTGGAGGTGCTGATTGTTTTGACTTGCGGTTTTGGGAGAAGAGGTTGTTTTTACATGACTCGTGCTTGGGAATCAGAGATGTGCGGTGCGGTTACTGATGACACTTTCTGTTTTCTTTCGTTCCTTCCTTTAATTCGATTTAGGATTTGATTCACAGACGATGGTTATCATTCTAAGCTTATCTGAGGAGCGAACTTGGTGTTTTACTATTGCATTCCATTTAAGATAATCATCTCATCCAAACGTCTGAAGAAGCGCACTCGGCTCGAATGAATATTATGAAAACGGCATTATGAGCATTACTTCCTATAAGCACACTTTAGTAGACCATGTTGATTTCCCACCAATATTCGCTCTTAGATTTCTACCTATATATACACCTAGGAATCCTAAGCATCATGGTTTTATTCATGGTGGTGTATTTCACTTTACCCTTGGGATTTTCCCGCGCCTGGTTATACGATATGCTTATACGGAGGGTATTCTCTTTGCTGGTTACACTACGCTGCCCCTCTTGATGTTGTGCCATCCGATATCCCGGGGCGGGGATGCAAATATATGGCATGCATGCATGCGTGCTGCCATTAAGCTTGCACGTGGACGCTGTTACACTGCAGAAGATAGGTAGGTAGCAAGCTATTTAGGAATTTTACTTTTGCCTTTTCTTTTTTTTTTTTTTTTGTTTTCTCTAAAGAAAACCTTATTTTTCTGTTTCCATTTCTAGCTAATACGGCTGGATCTGATTACCAGGTCTAGGTAGACTGGCATGAGATGTGTGTCTATTAAGGATGGCACTTGTTAAGAGACTTGGTTCGTGCCCTTGAGGTTATTCCCAACTTCCTGCTTCTGTACTTTGTGCTTCATTTCTGGTATATCTTGTTGTATCCAGCTTCCTGCGATGTCATCTTCTGGCATACTTTTAACCATTAGTGAGGTATAGTGTGAGCATCTAGGAAACTAAAAGTGCTTCAATTAGGTGAGTTCAGATGTCATTCATCTATATCTAGTTACCTGACGACATCCTGATTAACGAGTGACTCTTCGGAGCCAATTTCACTAGTAACTCTCACTGATATTCACTTCTTCTGACTGCTTCAGCCTTGAGGGATGTTTATGCTTCCAATTCTAGACTTTATCCTGGATTTCCTAATCGTACAGCCGTTTGAGAATTTTGACCATCTTGCCATTCACGTTCTTGCACTATTCTACCGCTCTTGATCTTCACCTCTTAGTTAGACAGGTTGCATTTTCCCAACAGTTCATTTATCTTATATTCGTCCCTCCCCTTCGAATTCACTCCTTTAAATCCAGCCTTAACAGTGGGCCCATCTTCCTCACTGTGGATATAATATCTCGCTTTCGCACACCACCTTCAACTTCACAGATCTAAAACTTTTGCATCAACAATCATCAATATGGACAGCAAGAACTGGAACCAACCATTGCAGGACACAATCCACAACGTTACCCCTGACTCATTCATGAGCTCGTGAGTCCCCAATATCGGCAAATGGGTGTTTCTAATTGAAGTCCCGGCATTGTCCCTCTCTACTCAGGTCCTCAAGTCACCATCCGCGTGGTCGTTGAAGATGGCGACGTCAAAGAATACAAACTGCCGAAAGGTCTTTTCTGCAAGCAATCGCCCTACTTCGCAGTAATGTTCGAGGGGAAATTCCGCGAAGGCGAAGAACAGGCCGTCACTCTGGAGCCAATGGAAGGTGTCATCTCAGTGCGCAGCTTCGAGACTCTCGTCCAATACCTGCATCTCGGCTTCGTCATCTACCCCAAAACGACGTCTGCCAAGGAGATCGACCACATCATTGAGTTCGCCAGGTTTGCTGATATGTGCGGCATCACCCAGATGAACGACATCATCTCGAGCCGTCTCCGAGAAGTCCTTCGCGATCGCAGCAATGCTCAGCACCACATGTGCCATCGTTGCGGCAAGTTGGCAAAAATCGCCAGCGGCGAAATCCAGTCTTCTCAAACCACAGTCACAATCAAACATATCAGTTCTGCGGCAGCCTTGCCGACCGGCAACCCCGTTCGTCGCGTCTTGGCAGACACAGTTGTCGGCGGATATCTTCAGCGGGAGAAGGGTCAGCATTGGAAGGCAGTGTGTCGTGAGATTCCTAGCTTTGGCGTCGATCTACTCGAGGCAACGCAGGATACTATCAATACGGTGGAGGCTGGTCGGAGCGATATTCATTTCCAAGATCCGGTCACCGACCAAACGTCTGTTCTGGATGGAAAATCCTGCCATTGTGCGTGCCCAAGTCCAGGTTTAAATGGTTGGGGACAACCAGTACCTCCAAATTCCTGGGACTGTGCCTGTGGCCAGAAATGAGGCATGTTCTGAAGCTTTTCAACTAGCCACATGTTACTTGTTGTTACAGCTCAGGTTTATGCCCCGTATCTACACATCTCGAGAGAACCAGACACGAGAATGGAGCGTCGAGTCATCGACACACAAAATTGACTTCAGTGTTCACTGCTGAACTTCGGTAAAAATAGACAATTAACAGGAATGAATCGTTGAGCTTACAAACATTTTCCCCATTTCCTATCCGTGATTTTATCTCCACTACACAAGTGACTTCCCTGTGGTATTCGCAGTAGCTCCGTATCGCCAGCATCCCCATATCTTCGAAGAAGATCAACCTTAGTGTAAACGCAGCAACAGTAGCGATTCGATAAGCAGTACGAACTATAGCGTCTCGTATTTTTAGATCTCACGTACAGTACATTAATTATCCGAGTCAGACCACTGGTGGACAGGACTGAAGGTGTGGTGTGACTTCATCACGTGCCTAAGAATTCAAGTCCTCCCACAAAATTAAATCATTTACACGTATATGTAATGCAAAACGGGCTGATAAGATCATTCAGAATTGCATCGTTACAGATTCTCGTATCCTCAAGCTTTCGCGACGCACCTCTACTACAGCGTAACTTTACTGCGCAACAGCTGAGGTTTTCTTGCCACTTGGAATGCTTAAAATTCATATTTGTTCAAGGAGCTAGGAAATATAAAACTGAAAATCGGAATACCATGATTAGGTACTATATATTCGTCACTAACCTTAGTAAAACCTCGAGCTCACTACTCTGTTAAGAAAACACTCTTATCTTGATGAAACCAAGAAGAAGCTTGTCGCAAATACGAGTAATAGCTGCCCGGTCACATATAAATCTGAAGCGCAACGCAACCGGTAGAAGTATTCGCTCTTTCCGGGCATAATTCTGCAGAGTCATTGATTGCGCGTGCGTTGTAAAGTGTCGTACTTTGTGTCGCGCACTATAGATGACACTGCTGTCTGGCAACGAAAACGATTTATCTGAGATGAGATGAAAAGTGGATGCATAAGCGTGGAGGTTTGTTTACTTTGCTGCGGTTTAATAGGCGTGATGATCATGGTCTGCATATTCCGTAGGTACTGTACTGGTATGGTAGTTTGAAAATAAACGAAAAGAAAGGGGCTGTGAGGATGAGAGAACTCCGTATAGAATTTCCCCGGATTACGTCAGAATCTACACCTTTATTTATAGAACACTCTGCTCCAGGCAACTACTCAAGTTTCGACCTACCACATAAGTGTTAATAAGATATTACTGTACTGTACAACTCGTACCCATGATCACAGCCTCTAACAGTATCCGGGATGACGTCTGTATTGCAATATTCACAGTGTTCGTTCGACTTTTGATCTCGCATCTTTACGAAGATCTACAGAGGAAAATATGTCTTACTGAGTCAGAGAAAGCACCTGGTATAGTGTTTCCACGAGATTGTACGAGTGGGAATTGTATAAGTACCACTAGGTGTATCATCTCTTTTATTTTAGATCAAACATACAACACACAGACAGTTCAATCAAAGTCCAACCTTTAAATACCATCTACAACGCTAACAACCTCCCTTTCGAATTCCC